TGGAAGAAAAAGAAATATATGCATCAAAACTTGTAAGATAAAAAAAACCTGCAGAATGCAGCAAAAATGTCACTAAGAGGAAACTTTAAGGCCTTCAGTGATTGTACTAAACAAGTAAAATGACTGAAAATTGAAAAGCAAATTATGCAACTTAGGAAATAAAAGAAAGAACAATTAAACAAAGCCAAATAAAGTAGAATACAGAAAATAACAGACAGAAGCAGAAATTCGTGAAATAGAAAAAGAAAGATACAGTAGAGAAGATCAACAAAATCAAATATTCTCTAAAAAGATTTTGTAAAAGTTAATCTATGGGGAGATTTATGGAGGAAAAAGAGAGGACAATTACAAATAACTGGGAATAAAAAAAGGAAACTGCTGATCCAGTGTACAGAAAAAAGATAAAAGAGGACAACAAACAAAATGAAGTTGAAAATTTAGGCAAGGGCGCGGTGCACAGTGCTGTAACCCCAGCTCTCTGACAGGCTGAGGCAGATGAGAATGGCAAGTTTGAGCTGAACCTGGGTAATTCAACAATTTATCAAGACTCTGTCCCCCACAAAAAAAAAAGCCAGGAGTAGTGGTGCACATATGTAATCCCAACACCAGGCTACACAGTGAGGTCAAGGCCAGCCTGAACTACTAAATAAATAAATAAAGATAAAATAAACAAGAACTGGGATGTAGTTTAGTGCAAAGTCTCTGGGTTTAATCCTCAACACCAGAGAGAGAAAGAGAGAGAGAGAGAGAGAGAGAGAGGGGGGCTTGGGCAAAGTAGAAAATTTCACAAAAGGAATGTGAAAATTTAGAAAAAATCCTGGAAAAATACATCTTACCAAAATGGACTAAGAAAAGAATGAGAATGCTTGATTTGTCTTGTGACCATGAAAGAAATTGAATCAGAAAAAGAAATAAAACTATTCCTAATTAAACTAATCATCTTAAACTGTTATATAGGTTAATTCTAAAAATGGGTTATTTCCATTTTATACAAACTTCTCCAGGAGATGTAAAATGAGTAAATGAATACTCAAACACACCCTGTGAGGCCAGCAAAACTCTGCTATCAAAGTGAGTCAAGGAGAGTATAAGAAAAAAAAAATTATAGATCAATCTCATGAAGACAGATAAAAATATTCTCAACAAAATATAAGGAAATTAAACTAAAATGTGTAAAATGGGTTTCTATCACAACCAAACTTTATGCCAGGAATGCAAAAATAATGTAACAATAGGAAATTCTTAAATATGTCACTTAGCAGATTAAAGGAGAAAAAGTATCTCAGTAGGTGCCCAAAAAGTACTTGCAAAATTTAATTCTTAATCATTGCCAAAAGCTCTTAGCAAATTACAATGAAAAGAAACAAAAGGAAAAAAATTTGAGCCTAATAAGTAGTATCTACAAAAAACAATAGCAAACATCATTTTTACTGGTGAAACATTAGAAACGTGACTTTTTAAGTGAAAAAGTAAATAAAGATACAACCACTCCTGTATTTAACATTGTAATGATAAAACAAGAAAAGCAATAGTATAAAGATTGGAAACAAAGAACCTGGTGTGGGGGTGCGTGCCTGTAACCCCAGCACTCTGGAGGCTGAAGCAGATGGATCACCACAAGTTTAAGGTCAGCCTGGGCTACACTGGGACCCTGTCCCAAAAAACAAAACAAAACAATCACTGTGTTTAAGTTATGATTCTCTACATAGAAACCTTAACTGAAAAATTATTAGTAATATCAGAATCTCTCAGTTCTCCATCTGTAACAAACCACTCCAAAATAGAATGCCTTAAAACAGTAACGATTTTATTTGCTTGCAGTTCTTAGTATCCATGATTTGGGCTAGATCAAATAGGCAATTCACTTGCTGGTGCTGCTTGGGGTCACTCATGGGACTGAATCATCTAACAGCTGGAACTGCAGCTGGAGGTCTAAATGGCTCCACTCGTGTATCTGGTGACTGAGGATGACCGTGGCTAGTGGCGTTGGGAATCCCCAGCTATCACGGTTTCTCTCTGCTCTCTGTAGCTAAGGAGCTTCTTCACATAGAAGTCTCCAAACAATGTGTCAAGAGATCAAAGCAGAAGCTGCCAGGCCCCTTGAGACTTGGTCTTAGAAGTTCCACAT